TTGCATCAGGAATTTCAAAATTAGTCATTTTGTCACAAAAAAAACATAATAATGTACAATAAATTTATTATACCTGCATAAAGTATTTAATTTATAACTATTTCAATTATTTACCGTGATTTATATTTTATTATTTAATGTAAAGCCATTTAATAAAAAAATTACAAATATCGGAATTATTATTTAGTTACATTTCAATTATTACATAATTATATCTAAAATTATTACGATACAATTTTTATTATATAATTCGTAATCATACAAAAATCATGAACAATTGTTTTATTCTTCGTTGTTATGGTGTACTTTGGAAAAAATAATATTATGTAATTGTAAAAATATATTATATTACTTCTTGTTCATAACTGTATGAAACATTTATGACTAAAGGAAAAAATTATAATCGAACATAAATAATATTATGTGAACTGCATTTAATATTCTTTGATATTCATTATTTTTAATAAATTATTTTTTGTTTGAATATACAATTTTAGATGTAAAGTTGTTTAAATGAAAATACTAGATTTTTTTTTATTACAATAATTATTAATTTTTTCAAATTATTTTGAAGAAATTATTGTGTTTGATTTATTTGTGGCTTGAATATAAAGTAATAAACTGAGAAAGTCTTGTCCCTTTTCTTTGGGAAAATTGTTTTATATTGTTAGCATAAAATATGACTCAAGAGTGTCTACGGTATTGTTACAATACTAGAAAATGAAAAGTAGACTCTCGTGGCTGGTAGAATGATACATGTTTCAGTGCATTATCTAAAGCCCAGAGACGAGTTGGCGGACGAAAAATATCATTCAATTTGTCAAACAGTTAAGGCAGAGTTGACATATCCATTTCAAAACTTACACAAGTGTAATATTATTATCGTTTAAAATTATTCCACACTACACGGGGGGATTGTGTGTACCTACCTGAAAATGGGATTTCACCTGATTTATTATAGCAGAGATGGTGACAGAGAAAATAAAACGACACAGAAAAAGGAAAATTGGTCGTCATCTGGCGAGGTACAAGTGTTGGTTATATTTTTAATTGTATTTTAAATTACAGTTGCTATCAAATGAAGGAACTTCAATATGATATTTGCTTTAAAATTGATAAACACTCACAAAAATAAGCCTCGATAATAATATAGTGACCGTTCATACGTCCTCCGTATTATATGACAAAACTCAGAGCAATAATACAGTATCTATAACTATAATAATCGCATTATATTTTTTAATATATACATCTATATTTGAGGGATCAAAAGTGGTGATGCGTACATTTTTATTATTATTTTGATAAGTCAATGACATACAGTAATGCTAAAGGATAAAGACCGAAACAACTATCGGCAGTTGTCAGGCCTCCATCTTTTTATTATATTATTAAAAAATGTTAATGCCTAAAGATTTTTATTGTATTTTTTAGTGCATAGCTAAAAACTGATAAAAAATAATAATATGATATGTAAATATGTACACAATTGTATTTTAAGCATGCTTACTTCATTTTTATGTTTAAATTGTGCATACATTCAAAATCTAATTTTCAGAATTTTTTAGTGTAGGTAATTAAAGACAATAGTTTTAAATGCTTTGATTTTAAACAACAGTTAGGGAATATAATAACGGCGATACCAAATTTAGTTTTTAAATGAGAACCGACATGTTTTAATGCAAACTGTGAATGAGATGATTTTCTGAAAATGTCCACGTATTGAAATCGAAATTCGAAAGAAAACTGTATGAGTTATTCTACTGCAAATACTAAGAATAATAGTCTAATAATATTATATTACTTACTTTTGAGTTTTGTTTAAAAATTATTGGTTGGAATATTAACCCACAAGCATTTTGTAATACTAAACAAGTGTCTGAGTATAATATTTGACTAAGTAGAAATTATTAACAAATATTTTATATTGTATCATTAATATGAATGGTAATGATTCATAAATTGATTTCATTAATTATGTAATGGGAAATTGATATTTGGATGGTATCCCTTTTATTGGTTATTCGAATATCTTGACTCTCGAGTATTAAGCAAACAATAGTAATAATAATAGTTTTTTTTTACGATAATACGGGATTTGTAATAAATGTTCATAATAAACTATATAAATCCTCAATGCTTTATGAAATAATTGTTGAACACATAGAGAATACACAATGGAGTCCAATTATAATATATAAAATACGATTTCCTCAGTTCTCTCGGCAAAAAGAATTATCAAACCATATTTTTTTCCTGGTATTTTATAATGATGCTACTATAAGAGGATACAGCTAAAATTACTAAATTATTTCGTTTCTCATTCTTTTTCTACGTTTATTTCCAAAATAATACTAAAGTGTCAATTACCTAAACTTTCCACGAGAAAAACAACATTTTTCTGCTCTTCTTTTTTTGCCTACCGTGTTTAATCGATAATTTAATATTAATAATACACTACCGTCTATTCGACTTTATTTTTAATATGCTACCTACGTTATAAAACTGGTAAACATTAAGAATTTTTACACTTGGTGTCATGATTAAGTCATGATGGGAAATTCAAAGCTTAGAATCGAAAAACCTCTGCACTGCAGCAGCTTATATATAGCGTTGTGCGCAAAGTCTTAGACCGGATGGACGATAAGGAGATTGTTTGGCAACAGGAAATGAATACTCGTGTTAAGTTTTCAAGGATGGAAAGGCGTAGGTACAGAGTCATAGTGCTCTTAACAGTGTTTTGAATATGTGTGTTGGCGTTATTTTACACAGTAGGTATTTAAAACAACATCAAGATGTTAATTTGCATGCAAATTACGAAACATGAAATAAATGAACGCATTTGTTTGAAAACCATCATCATCGAATTTCTCACGAACCCGGTTTTCAGTCGTGATCACTGTGCGGAAACGAAAAACCCACATATTCTCTGCAATTGTTGGCAGTGTTTGAAAATGCCCTGCGGTAGCTGAATGATTGTTTAAATGCTGTGGCCCGAGGGGAATAAAATTCACGAAAACGAATGATTAAAAGCTTAAAAGTTTGTCAGACAACGACATAGAAAATATTGTTTTAGCCGGAAAAATAAAATAGAACGAAAACAAAATAGTTACTCAACTACAAGCTTTGCATTAAACTTTCGTACTATTTCAATTGATGGTCATATTATTATATTTAAAAATGGTTTTTTGTTTTGTTTTTTTATAGTAATTTTTTCCGACCGTTTTTTATTTTTAAATACTTGCTTAAGGCGCCCGGTGCCAATGTAGTTTTGTACACAAAAATACGCTCTACGGGAATAATGATCCTGTACGTACAGTCAACCAAATTTGATCATTTATTTTTAAAAAACTATATAGCGTATATTCTACAGGCCACATCGAACTCAGTTTTTCAATATTTTATTCTCTGACTTTCTAGTATGTCTTCAAAAGTAATACAATTTTCAGCCTTTTTTTCAATTATACCATACAACTATTTTAAATAAAATAAAAATTGAAGTTCGATGGGACCTGTAAGTCTTCTTTTTTCAAATAAAAATATAGTTATCAAAATCTGACAATTCTACAAGGCATGATAATTATTTCCATGAATTCATTTTTTTCGATATAATACAGGTATTGTGCAACTAAAATGGAAAATTTAATTTTGAATTTTATAGGATTGTAGAGAATTAGTAAAACTGGAACCGGGTCAATAATAGAAAAAGTATTAAACGGATGTGAGAGATTTTGATGTAATAAATCCAACATTTAAAAACTACCTACATTATAAAAAAATGTTTTCATATAGTTGTATGTATTTTAAATATGTAATTATTAAAATATATTATAATATCAGACTGAATATATCAAACTCTACCTTAATCGAATGATACATACCCGTCTGTTAAGTTGGTTTAGTATAACAATGTAGACACAACAGTTGTATTTAATTGCATCTCATTTTCACGAGTACTCATAAAAAATATATTATTCAATACTGAATTTGAAAACAGATAGTTTTGAAATACTTGAGACTGTTAAATTGTTTTTAACGTTTTAATTTTCGCTTACACATAACTGAAAACGATCGTAAAAGTAATGTTGATAAAAAAAAAAACTTGTTTGGAAAAAGTAAAATAATTATAATAAAGCCTAACAATTGAAACTATTAAACACAATGCAATCAAGCGTAGTGAAGCCACTATCAGTTAGAGGATAATACAAACAAAAACGTGTAATTTATGCTTCACCGAAGTTTTCGTTATATCCCAATGGAGCTTATTTATATTTTAACATGTCACGCATAACAGCGGCAGTTTATCTTGCGCTTTGTGCACGTTTTAACCTTTAACAGAAAAACAAACAGTCCTCGGATCCCTCGTCATAAATATTGTCTACGCTGTTGGAGTATCTCCACAATAAAACTCGTTTTTTTAATACCCAACCGTCTTCGTGAAAAATAACCAAAGATAAAAACAGAAGGGACGCCGAGATATGGTCGTCTTTTACGTCTTGCAATAATAATTATTTTCCGGAAGACAAAAAAATGTGCGCATATATATATATATATTATACTTACACACACATTTTAAAAAATGGCCCGAGATACCCGCCTTTTTTGTGGCTTTCAAACTGCAACGACTTTTCATTTTTTAAGAGCAAAAGCACGTTTTGGAGATAGAGCGGTCTTAACACTAAACAACAACAACAACAAAAAACTAATACGGACTCCTTGTCAGCTCCTACAAAACGTCATAATCTAGAGCATTTATTGCGGTACGATAATAACAATTTCATTTTTTCGCAATCTGAATAATTACTACAACAGGTACGCGTTTATTCATTATTATTGTGATTTACCGCGAGCGTGATTCGTAGCCGGTCACAAGTTACAACAATACTGCATTTATTGTTATTGTTTAATTCCGGTAAAAGTTTTACGCGCGTATAGTGTTTGTTAACAAATTATTGTAGTTTTTTTTTTCTTTTGGAGTAAATGCGTTTCTAAAATCTTACCTTAACGCCTCCCTGTAGTGATTTACAGCTGTTTGCGTGTCCCCTACGTCCCTTTGGTAATTCGCCCAGTTATAGTGCATTTTGGCGTTGTGTGGCAGGGTCTTCAAACCGGCCCTGAAAAGTCACATCACTTTATATAATATACTATGATGATGCAATGTATGAACCGTTTGGGAATTGGAGACAAAAATATGTATTAGGTAACATCGATTTTTCCACGTCACATTTCCATTAAAAAAAAAAAAAAATATATATCTACATTTAATTTGTCAAAGAAAATATTGAATTGCAAAATATATATAACTATATTTTATGGTGGGGAAGAAAAAATATTGAAATTGTAATATTTCAAAATGAATGGCAATATTGTTATAAAAAGCAAATTCACAATAGGAAGCATATATATTTTATCTTTCAAATTGTGATTAAAGTTTAAATTTAAAAATACATTAATTTAAGTTTCTTTTATGTTGACTTACTTAATGATTGTCGGTCTAGACATCCAATCACTATTTCTCAGTACGGTTCTAGCTACGAATACGAATAGTGTGAAGCCCACAAAAAATTTCGTCGTCATTACCACCCAGTTCGATGATTTTTTGTGATTCTGGATAGTTTGAAGTCCATATACGCATAACAAAATGAGTCCCATACTGTAAATTATAAATATTATATTAAGTAAATAGTTATAAATACCTACTACAAAAATCAATATTTATTATTAATGTTATATAAAAAAATGAACTTATTACGATTTATAAAAATTACATTTATAAGTTTACCTTAGAAATTAACTCAATACAGTTAGGAAGGTAAATTAAATATTAAAAAATAAATATTTGTAAAAAAAATCCGGTAAATGAATTCAATTATCTCAAATGTTAATTCATATATATTATATATACAAATGTAATATAAAAATGATATTTTGCACGATTCAAATGTATAGTCGTATTGATGATAAAGATGATTTATATACTAATATAATTATTATTTATGCAGTTTAATATAATTTAGATCTTCCTTATAGTGCTTGTTGCACTTTCATGTCAACGAATAAATAACAAGAACAAATGATAACATTTAAATAGTATTATATATTAATAGGTAGGTATAGTAAAATTGTTCCCTAAGAAAATGCTATGATATGCGACGTAATAGAATATTTACCTGGGTATGTACAGTACTCTTTCGGCCACCACAAATCCTACTGTTACTAGAAGATTGGAAGCAGGAATGTAAGGGATGATGAGTAAAAGAGCTGCCAAAACTTGAGGACTATGTTTTTGTGTCTGAAAGCAAAAACACGAAACTTTTGTATTATTTTCACACGATAAAATATAGGTACATTAATTATTGATAATATAGGTATTTGTTATGAATTAATGCAAGTATGATATAATTTAACGGCGATTGACATAATATTATACAACTTGAATTTCAAAATTATGATTACATTTCTTCTCTAATGTATATAGTATTAAAACTTACGATAAATTATATTTGGTAAAAACATTTGACTATAATAGCACGACAGAATGAGATGACACGAGTGAGAAAGTATAATAGTTGAATTATATTTAAAAAAAAATGATTATTGTCAGAAATGGATGGTGAGCAGTTGGAAGAAATAATAAATTGTAAAAATATATTTATAGATATAATCCAACAACGATGTATCTAAATATTTTTATTTATTTTCCCTTCGAAACGGAGTTCTACCCGAACCTATGACTTGATTAGTTTTTTTTTTCTGTTAATGCCCTATATATTATCAGTAAAACCCATAAACCGTAAATCTAATGAAAATCCGGATGTGGGATAAAAATAACGTATCGCGCACGACAAAATAAAATATAACATTAAACATATTTCGCCAATGAAAACTGATTCAAACCGAACTGATATTTATGACGATATTAATTTAATATTATAATCTATAATATCATTATATAGAGCACGTGGGCGTTTCGGAAGGGTGTGAGCTAAATTCCATCATAAATCCGTGGTCTATCGTGTTACGTGATAATATTATGTAGCATTTCAGTCAAACCAGACTACTATACATTGTTTAGCTAAAACGGCTATATTGTAATAATAATAATAATATAATAATTTACCGATTCGCTTCAATATGTGTTAAGCAACAAGACCTAGTTTCATTGTAATTATTATTATTATTATTATTATTTGGAGAACAAAATTAACGGAAGCAGTGTCGATGTACGTGCTCAGTGGGATAAATTACCAAATGCTTACTACAGCAGCGGCGGACGGATGTACAAGGGACGTTATATTTTTTTTTTCGCGCCAACAATAACAATAAAAAAAAACTCGAGGTTAGTGTTCCGTAAATTGAACCCGCGAACACAGCGTTTTATATTCCGCGTATATTTTTCCCCTTTCCGTACAAAATAGACGGAATAATATTATAATTTTCTGCCAATGGGGAATTTTACGACGCAGCCTAAAATTATTTCATACATATTTGAACAGCGTACAATTTTGACGCCAAATTACTGTACCTGCCGTAGTGGTTTTGGTTGTAACCGTTGTTTTCACGTGCATATAATATACGTATGTATACGTGCAAGTCCACGGGGAATTCGAACGCAACCCGACGAGAGCCCACTCCGACTGACATAATATAGATTGAATATTATTGTCTACAAGTGTGTCAATTGGCGTAAAGTAATGAAATATTTCGTTGATCCGGTATAAGTATATAGGTACATATTATTATAATATAGTACGTGTTATAATAATGTTACACGTTTACCCACTTCGATACACATCCAAGTAAAATGCTATATTATAACGAGGACAATATTACGATGAAACGCAATCATGGTTAATCAGCACCATGGTGTTGTGTACATAATATTTTATGGACAGTCTAGGTGGATGTAATAATAACATTATGGTATGAATATTGTGAATTTATATGAATTGCATTATAGGCACAACTAATTAAAATCGTATCTATGGTAAAAATAATTCATTGTTTTCTTACGCCGTCGGACGTCCGTGTACGCTTTACTATATGTATATAGGTACGCTTAATTTAATGTTCTTCGTCCGTTGACCTATTTTGGCGTTTATCTTTGCCAAAATGTTTCGGCCAAATGTTAACGAGCTCGCCAGGTCGACCTTTCCCGCTTATCATTAAATACCTCCCGGAATTGATTGTGCATAAAATTCCGGTATCCGTTTTGGATTAAACTAACATCTACCCACCGCCATTTTATTGGTGACGAGGTGAAGTTGGTCATATGGGTGGATGGGGGGGGAAGCATACCGGTCGAAAGATGCAGGTTTAAGGACGGAAAACATAACTCATGGAAAGTCCACCTTCCGAATTCCTGTTAGCACTGTAGTAGGGTGTCGCACACGAAATCTCCCCACATTAATTATGGTCATTTAGTTGGTTACATTACCTAAACTTAACGTTATTATGTTAGTTTCATATTCTTGTCATAAATATTACTTTCCACTGGCTTTTTGAAATATTTTAAACGCAATTATAATAATAATATGGTATCCATAACTGTTTTTTTTTTAATTTAACGAGTAATTAAAAACCAAACTGTTATAAATAATAATATAAAGGACTGTATAGATATACCTAAATATAATATTTTATTAGACAGTTTACGTTTCTAAAAATGTATGGTCCAAATATTCATAAAAAGTTGCTTTCAATCGTTTGTATTTTTTTCTAACGATAACTCAACCTGCATACATATATAATATATATCCATACAAATAAAGAAACAACCAACAACGAATGAGTGTGTGAAGTTTATTATTTAAAAACTTGGTAATGTTAAAAACGAAAAAAATCATAAATGATGTCGATGCAATAAAAAAAAAAAAAAATTAAAGTATAATGTGATAACTACCAGCTTACTAAACAATAATATAAACCAATGAAACTACTTTTTAAAAACACAATAGGCGCAGCGACTTGCTGTTAAAAGGTATCATAACATTATTGAGTATTTACCGTGTAATATTATTTCATCTTAGAGAGGAAAACGATTTAATGAAAAATAAACATGTAAGTTCAGTATTATGTTTATAGTACAACTTACGTCCATGTCAGATAATATCTTGCACGTAATGCACAACAAGAATGCTGCAGCTACACATGTTCCAATGTTTCTGATATCGTACAGAGACGTGACCAATGGTAGTGAATTCATTTGCCAGTCGTGACTCAAAGCCGACGGACATAACATCAGCCACAGGTTGAACGCAGCCACATAACTATAGCTGAGGAATCTACAGAAAACGATTTTTTTTTTTTATTGTTTTTGTCAATTTAGTATTATAGGTAGATTTAATCACAATATTGTAAACCTATTGCTTAGACGTGTACTAACTACACCACTTGAATGATGATTTTTAAACACGGGAAAAATTAACCTTTGGATATCGCTGATCAAATAAAAATATGTTGTTATATTTTATTTTAGAATTTTGTGTATCATTATTACCGGACTTAAGACTTACAACGATAAAGTTTAAAATGTAATAGTAATTATTATAATATTATCGTACGTTTAATAATATTCAATCGGGAAAATTTACCATGAGAATTATTTTTATTTTTTAATATCGCGATGTTTTACGTGGTAATACATAATTTTATACTTTCCTACTTTTACGTCCTATAATATGACGGGCGTCACTCTACCATTAATAATTTTAAATTTTAAACAACGCATTCCCACGTCCAGTGCATAATTTATTTATGCAAAAACAAGTAATTTTGTATTTTTATTCATTATAGCGTATTGTAGAAATACCAATTTAAATAATATTACTATCAAACGTCATTCGGAGATACGTATTTAGTAGTCACTGTGCGAGGTGCATACAATTTGAAATAACCTCAAATAAAACGTCATGTAACACCGGGATCGTAAAATGACGTATTTTCCACCGCTGTATAGAGTGCAGAATTTTGTTTATCTCGATTTTTCAGCCTTTTTTACGAATGCATTTACGAATATTCGGAACACGTACTACAGAGTAAGTAAATTTTGTGAGGTCTGAGGAGGACATTAAAACCTTAGAAATACGCTTGGCAGCGATCCCGAGAGAGTGTCCGCTCCGCGAACCGCAACGACATAATTTTTCTCCAGTATACCGTAATACACGTACAGTTTAACGAATAACACGGAAGTCAGTGTTATAAACAATTGATTTACAAAAAAACCATTACGTGAATTCCAAAAGTGTTAATAAATATATTATGGAGGGACGTCCAATAACCGTCCACGGACACTCTTGAAGACTTTTAGCCTACACTATTATATCGTCGGTCACGGTCGATTGACAACCTCTGTGTATTATAAGTAAGTTTTTTAATTATAATGATATTGAACCATTTAACCGATATAATAAACTGTATTTATAGAATACAAAAACAAATTTAAAAAATGATTCTATGCAGTACCTAATATCGCAGTTTAATTTTCAGATTTTATAAGTCGAGCCAAGTCGTATACTTATATGTAAACGTGGTATATGAACTGTAATACTGTTAATAAATTTAGCTCTATATTACCAATCACTATGGTTTGTAAGTCTTGGGAAGACTTTCTAATAATGCTCTAAAACCATTACTGATTCATCAATGTCTGCAGATAGTACGTACATGTATCTTCAAAAAATAGATTATGAAATATCTACCAGTCGTCCAGTCGTACCAGTAACAACTTAAGAATATTTGACGTATTACCGGTGAATCTTGTGCTAAAAATAATTGTGATAGTTTGTAGCTTGTAGTTTGTAGTTTCTATAGACCGTACGTAACTTTTATAATTCCATTAAAATCTCTATAAACAACAATTCTTTTTTTTTAAAATAATTTAAATGCTAAAAAAAACTATTGTTGACTGTCTATTATAATCAATCTGATTTTTAGTTTTAAGTAAAATGTATATAATTTAAATTTTTTTTATGTTTAATGTTTCATTATCTATTTTTTTTTTAAATTCAATTTACATTGTAAAATTGCAGTAATTTTGTTCTATTTTTAATATTCTTATAATTTTGTCTATCTTCACCACGAGCTTGTCCTTTAAAAGGATAGATTTCTCAAATATAATATAATGTAATGTATTTTTTTTGTTCTAAGCTTAATTTTGTATGCGGAAAGTTATATAATGCGTCCTCCTCCGATTTAAAAAGCAAAAGTTGATTGGCAAAATACTTTAAAAAAAAAACTATTATAATTTCGATTAATCTATAGAATAGACGTTGAAAGTTTTTTTAAATTATTTTAAATAAATAAATATCTACAGATTTTTTTTCGATGGATGGTATTAAATTCTAACGAACAAGGTCAGATAAAACAAGGTTATGTTCCAGTTAAAATGCATAGAATTTAAAAGCATTTTGTTACTGTATTTGTGTTACCGGACTGCGAGGTGAAAATTGTCAGCGAACCTTTATACTATACAAGTACAGCATAAACCACAATGATTTTAAAGCTACTTTGTGATATGCTATAAACTGTATAGGGTACTGTTGTAGTGATCCACATTTCCCGATTGAATGTAGTTGGATTAAAAGCAATAATTGAAAACAATCTTTTACGATTCCTCTTTTGTTTCAAATAAGATTAATGGCTTTCAATACTTCAGTTTTTGAAAAATAACATCTGAGACCTGTTTTGTTATTACTTTGATAGTAATCAATACCAAAAATGTAACAAAACCATATAAACCATAGTCATCTTTTAATACGGACCAATAGCATATTATGTCATATTTCGATGCATTTGTCACTTAAAAATACCCCATAATAATATTTCAACAAATATTTGAAAATTATTTTAGAATTATTTCAATTATAATACAATGTGTATGAGTTTCAGAGATAAATACGAAATTTTAAACGTTTTATATGTGGGTAAAATACTGGGTGGTGTAACCTATAAAGGAACCACATGGTTAAACAAAAAAATAAAAAATAATATTAACGAATATCGTTGATGTGGTGCGTGGGATGATGCTCTATTACATAATAATTACTGTAGCAAAATATTTTGAAAATATTTCGTCCACAAAAAAAAAAAATGCTTTTCCACCTCTATTTAATAAATCGCACTTCTACAACAGAACATGAGGCGATGAATCATGAAAAATCATTCATTGTGTCATTGTTAAGCTACGTCAAACGTTACTATAGTAGCTATATTTAGGTTGGCCACCATATCCATATCAAACATACCTGTATAATATACTCATGCCATATATCCCATGCATTACTTACAGGAAAATGTTTACAATACTTAAAAATACAAATGCATTTGACTGGGATTAGCGATAAGTGGTACCTAAGGCTAAATCAGAAGTAGGTAAGAACCAAATAACCGATTAGGACGCACAAACGAAGTCAACTGGTTTATGTTATTTATGATTTAGTAAGTTATAAATAGTAATATAATAATATAGGTAAGTACCTATTTAAATTTTATAAAAATTCAAATTGATCTTATAATCCAATTATTATTATTACTTTTATTATTTGCATACATAACTCATAAATAATAAATACCATTTTTATTAATATGTTTTAGTTATGATAACATAATATTATAATAATATACATAGGTACACTTCATTATATAGCATATTATACAAAATAGCTTCATTGCATTACGATGGAAAAAAAATACCAAGATAAACAAGGTGAATCCGTGCCTTTCATAAGTAGGTATGCCCCTCATTTAAACACAACTTATTTCTTAAAAAAAAATAATCCATCTACTCAAAAAAATCGAATAATAATTATTTGCGAGTTTTTTTTATTAAAATGTCTCGTATTCGTCCACCCCACTATCAATTCCTCGAAAATCCTTAGTTTTAAACAGACAAAACAAATACCATCTCACTCTATCTAAAAGACTTGGCAATCATCCCCATTGGACTGTGCCCAAGAAACTCTGAGTGCCTAAAAGTCGTTAAGCAATGTTTTTGTCATTCCTTAAATGAAGTATTGAGTGATACTCAAGAGTCTAGGGTATTGAAGCAAATTACATATTTTAATTTTCCTATAATTAGCGATTTTATCTTTTGTATTTTTTTAGACAATGTATTTTGAAATGTAGGGGGTATTTCTATTTAAAGTTAAATCAATATTGAATTTATAGGCATAGTATAATATGATTAAATTCGTAATATATCATACAATTTATTCCAAAATATGTTATGTATAGTACATACCTAATACTTGGAGAGCATATTTTATATTGTTACTATTATTTACTTATTATAAAAATACAGAACAATATTATAAAAATTTAATGGAGATTAATGTACCTATGCCTGCATTATTTACAGCGAAGTGTTACTGATCTAGGTCAAAGTTAAACTAAGAACATCTCATTAAATCAAAATTCAATTTTATTATATTGCTAATACTTTGTATGCAATCACTTAAAACTAATTAAAAATATTAAAATTGACCAATAATTAAGTAAATTTACTATATAAGCGTTAAATTATCACGAAAAAACTTGATCTTGTTAAAAATTCTTTTATAAGTTACAGAGTTGTACTATATCGGCAACGTAATTACGGCGACCTATGAACCAAAGATCCCAAAGATTTTTGAACAAATTTCAAATTGATAAATATATTAAAATGTGACCTACATCGTGTTTTATATATATACTCAAATATTACTTCCAAAGTAAATTGTAAATGTATTCACAAATTATAATAAATTATGCATATTGTATATTATTACTATGAATAAAATATTTGCTAAAATCTAGGAATGAACTTATTCTTAAACACAAGTGAACTCAAAGCTTAAATGTTGTTAACTGCAAGTTTAGGTACAATATTATTTTGATTAAAACATAATTTTCTCACTGTTTCGATAATATTACTATGCTATTTTACAGCATCATCATTTCCGTACGTGTCTTATGCTCCCAGCGAATATATTATGAACTTGACATACTTGTTCCTTAATAACAGTCTTAGATAGTTTCTTTGCACTCAATTATTTGTTAATTGCAAAACAGTCTTAGGTTTTACGACAATTATTTACTAATTCTTGCGAAATGAATTTCTATGAATAAATATAATATTATTGTGGCCCATGCGGAAATTGAACGTTTAATGAACGAAAATAATACTGTTTGTAATCTTTCAAGCGTAAGGTGTACGGAAACGCGGAAATGTTGTTTATTTAAATTTCAAAGTTCTTTTTATTTACTAACATTTATATCTCCCTTCTTTATTCCATTAAAACGTATT